GATTGTATGGAGGGGATTTTAACCGTGGCAATGAAATGATATACGATAGAATGAATGTAAAACTAATGTTTTCCCATGTAAACTATCACATCATTCACAATAAAACATTAAAAAAAAAAACATTTTTTTTTTAAATATACAAGGGGTCTGTAAGAACTTTGTGGAAACACTCCTCTACTGTTTAATTCCAGTTTTCCACAAACTTTTTTTTTGACGCCCTCTCATATATATAAAATGGCATTATGACAGTCTTACATCGATGATAGTTGCAATCTGCTTGCAGTCTGTTGCTTTATATCAGAGAACTCGGTGGCTTTGTAGGATAAGCACTGGACTACTAACCATGAGATCAGCAGTTTGCGCCCACCAGCCGCTCTGAGGGAAGGAAATGAGATGAGGCTTTTTGCTCCCGCAGATTTACAGCTTCAGCAATCCTACCCAGGATCCTTGTTAGTTGGAACTGACTTGAGGGCTCTCTGCAACAACCGCAACAACTGATTCGTCAGATTCTTACTCTGCTGTTTTCTTAGGCTATTGGTGCTGTCATTATTGACTAGAAAGGGTTTCAAAAACCAGGGAATAATGAAAATACATAAAATGATATGAGCTTTGTTTGAAATGTCCTGTGAGCCTCCACCGTGCATGTGTAAGAAGCCATGCTTATTAATTTCTTGGACTCTTTTCTAGCGCCATTTGTAATACAGTGCCACCTCAGCCACTAAGTTCCCAAGGTGAAAGTTCAAATTACTGAAAATTTTAGGTTGTTTTGGAATTCTGTTTCCTGTGGAATATGTGTTAATTTTTCAAAGTTGATTATTACCAGTTTCCTACAACTCTACAACTTAAGGTTTCTGCTGGTCCTCTGAGCCTCTGGCAGTGACCTGCCCTTTGTCTCTGTCCCCTCCAGCCCCGCCGCACCCTCCCCCCTCCGTGACTCACACTGTTACTGCTTTAAGCTCTTGTCTGTGCCCACCCTGGATCATTGACTCATTGTCCGTCTCTCTCTTTGATTGGCTATGCTGCACATGTCTCCTGGGTTTTTGAAGCACTTTGTAGGTCTTCTCAGACGACCTGCGCTGGCTTGGCTTTTTCCTTTGTGCGTGTTTGTGGGGCTCTGTCCGTGACCACGGTCCCCACTTACATACTTTTCTGGTCCTCTCGGCTTCTGTATCCATGTCTCTTATGCCAGCAACATGAAGTTTTTGTTTCTGAGGTCTCTGACCCGATTTCAGATGCTAAACGTGTATGTTCCCTGACTGTAAGTAGATCATGATCTTGACAAATCTACTCTCTCCAGGCAAGGAGCGCTTCATTCAGTCAGTTCTCAGTAGGTCTGACTGACATCTCTTAGACCTGAGAGTGTGAATCACCTTGGGCTTTGCTTGTTCTGACCCTTTACTGCTGCTACTCTGACTTCTGCCTTTTCTGGTCGTACTCTCCTAACATGAGTTTTACTGTCAGAAGTGGCTGAAAACTTGGATTGGAATTTTTTCTTGGGGGAGAAAGCTTTGCTGTATCCTTTTCCTTTCTCCCCCTTAGATTTAGCCACTTACTGGTTAGAATTCTAGACAGTAAAGCAAAAGGCCATGTGAGGAGCTTCCGAACATTCCTGGAAAAGGGGATGTTTCTACAGACTTTTTGTAGATGAAGCAACTTGTGTTTAAGCTTTTCCCCATCTTTTGTGTCTTGTTTGTTTAAGTGAACATGCATTTATATGGGGGAGAGGGGCCTTCAAAAAGTTAGTGGAAACATTCCATTTTCCCACAAACCCTATGGAGGCCCCTTGGACTTACTAGTTTGGTTGAAATAGTGCATCCAGTCACTTCCACCACCTATGAGTGGTCCCCTGTAAGTGGCCCGTGGCGTGGTGGGTGAAATGCTGCCAGCTGCCCTGCTGTGTGTGTGACCAACCCGCAGGTTGTGTGTCCCATTGCCCTCACTGCCCTGACGACCTTCCTGGGCTACTTGTGTCTCCGCAGGACGAGTGCTATCAAGTCAGACAAGTGTTTGCCCAGAAGCTCCACAAAGGCCTCTCGCGATTGCGGCTTCCGCTTGAATACATGGCTATCTGCGCGCTCTGTGCCAAAGACCCCGTGAAGGAGCGGCGTGCACATGCCAGGCAGTGTCTGGTGAAGAACATCAATGTCAGGCGCGAGTACCTGAAGCAGCATGCAGCAGTGAGCGGTAAGCACCCGGCACGCTGGGTGGGTGCTCGCCCTGCCAAGTGGCCTAGTAAGGCTTTACCACGAGAGGCTTCCGAAGTCCGAGGGAAAGCTCCAGTATCTCCTGCTCCATTGTTCCTGAGACAAGTCCACTCCTTGTCATTTTGCGTCTGCTTTCCCCTGGAAAAGTTCAGTTTTGGAAATACCAGGGTATGGGGCCTTTAAATATCCCCCTGGATACAACCCTCGTGGGCCTGAGGTAGGGCCGAGGAACAGCACGTGACCCTAAAGGCACTTGAATAGAAGACAAGAGCATTTATGTTTTGAGGAATTTTCCAAGCCCTGTCTTCTAGTTGGAGAACAGCCCAGGTTTCTGCTCTAGGTTGAGAGCCTCACAACCCCATAAGAAAGACGGGGACACACTGTTTCACACACAAGGAACTCCTTGGGTTCAGATTCATTGAACTGTCTGTCCAGACAGCCACACGTGATGGGCATCTGGGGTCCAGGTTGTGGGGTCTGGCTAGTCTGCCGGACCAGGCCACTTGGCATCAACTGAGCGACAGTGGGAACGTCTGTCCGCTTCTCCTTCCTGCCGTTCTCTTGTCTCTCGTCAGTCTCCGAGGCCGTTAGCTCCTCCTCCAGATGTCTTCAACATCTGGTCTCTCCACCCCTGTTGTACTTCCGTTGGATATTTAGAGGCCACCGCCCGGCCTTGGACCCGCCTCAGGGGTCAAGGGCTCAGCTGCTAACCAGATGTTGGTGGTTGGAACCCACCCTTCTCCATGGGAGAAAGCTGTGTTGATCTGTTCTGTAAAGGTTCACAGCCTTGGGCTTCCTGCGAGGAAGGGTGCTGGGACCCTGGGCTGGCTCAGCTGCAGGGGAGCTAGTTTTTATGGATGTGTATAACTTGGTCACTGAACTTCCGGTTTAACATTGGATGTGAGACTTTACTGTGAAAATAGCAACTATGAAAGGAATCATCATTACTATTGGCCCTGGTCTTTAGAACACCCTTTATGAAAGCTCCTTAGGATCACCAGTGACCTCTTGAGGGATGTGCTAGTTTCTTCAACAAATCTGAAGGGGGATAAATTAATTTTACCTAAGAAATTATCTCTTAAGGAGCTCTGGTAGCGTAGTGGTTACGAATCCGGCTGCGAACCGCAAGGTCAGCAGTTCGAAACTACTAGCTGCTCTGCGGGAGAAAGATGAGGCGTTATGCTCCCGTAAAGCTTGATAGCCTTGGAAACCCTGTGCAGGGTCGCTGTGAGTCAGAACCGACTCCGTGGCACATAACCAAAATCACCAGAAATGTATATAAGTCTATTCTTTTATATCTGTCTTCTATTTTTGTACTGTAACAACTGATGATGTTGTTGTTGTTGTTAGGTGCCGTCAAGTTGGTACCGACTCAAAACGACCCTATGCACAACAGAAGGAAACTCTGCCTGGTCCTGGGCCAAAATCACAGTTGTTGCCACACTCGAGCCCGTTGCTACTGCCCCTGTGCCAGTCCATCTCGTTGGGGGTCTTTCTCTTGTTCGCTTCCACTTGACCAAGCATGGTGTCCTTCTCTTAGTACTGGCCCTTCCTGATGATCATGTCGTCAAAGTCTTATTTTAAATCTTTCAGCATAGCCTTATAACCCCAGGAAAAGTGGTTGTTGAGTCTGTCAGTTGTACGTGGAGCCCGTTTCGGTCACTGTTTCTATGTGGAAACGGGAGTGTTGTGTTGAGTGGGCTGTGGTGGGTGGGTGGGGGGTGGATAAACTGCTCAGTCTGTGATGTTGCCTCAGCACCATTTGCTCCCAGTCGTGGTTTAGGAGGCAGGAAATACAGAATCCGAGCACAAGAGAGAGTGCAAACAAATTAATTTGGTTGTGTTTTGTTTTTTTTCTTTTTCAGAAAAATTACTCTCTCTTCTACCAGAGTATGTGGTGCCATATACAATTCACCTTTTGGCTCATGACCCAGATTACGTCAAAGTACAGGATATCGAACAACTGAAAGATGTTAAAGAGTAAGCCACCCTGGCCCGCTTTGTTCTTATTTCTGAAAGTTGTTTCCCGCTTTCCCGCTGATCTCAGCATCTTCACTACAATTGAATGTCTTAATATTAGCTGTTTTCCTTTTCTTTGGAGTGTAAGGGTCTTCATCCTCTATTGGCTCTTTTCTGTGTCTTGCCTCGTACCATTGCTTCACATGATTTCTTAAGTATTTTCCCTGAATTTCACTCAGCACACTCATTTTTTTTCTAAAGAATCCTAGCTGCTCAGAGGCTTAGGTGTTGGGCTCCTAACTGAAAAGTCAGCAGTTGGAACCCACCATGAGCTCGTCAGGAGAGTGATGAGTCAGTCTGCTCCTTTGAACGTGTACAGTTCACCTCTGCCCCAGAGGGTCACTGTGAGTCGGGACTGACTCGAAGGCAGCGGAGCGGGTAGTTCTGGTTCCCTAGCAGTCTGTGGTTTCTTTTGTACTGAAGCAGTTCAGCAGCTTTTCTCATTTTCTCCTAAAGCTCTGTGTACAGCCCTGTGAGGTGAATTCATACACTGGTCTGCACACATAGTAAGACAATTTTCCTTTGAGGTAACTTTCCAAGGAAGAGAGAGCGACCTGTTTGACTCATGGCTGAGGTGGTAACCAGGGAACACCTCCCACTACCCCCCTCCTCGGCGATCCTCTGGAGAAGATGACTCTTGTCTTTCCCTTAGAGTATGGCTGAGAGACAGGAAAGACGACTGTTTAGGTGCAGAGTAGGAGATCCGTGGTTCTTAGAATCGTTGCTTAAAAAAAGTGGGAGAACCGGCCCTCTTGCTGTTACCATGAAGAATAACCTCTGTGAATTTGACTAAAATAATGTGCTTTATAGGAAAATAATTAAGATACCTCAAGAAAAATAAAATCAAATTTCTAATAACTCCCCACACAAAGCAGTGATCTGTTACTCTCCTTTCACCGCTGTTTTCCATTTTAAAAATAAGCAGAGTCTCTCAAAGGAAGTTCTGTCTTACAGCAAAAGCTCTCCTACTTTGTCAGAACACTGGCCTTTGACATAAAACAGTCTTTGGGATTTACTGGACATTTCTGGCTATATTTCCAAAGAGCCAGAGTACAGTGAACCCCCAGAAGAACGTGCCACACACACACACCTTTAATCTGAAACCTTTCCCTTAGAACACGAGCCCCCTGTCCCCTTCTCTTCTTCTCTGCGTCACTTTGCCCCTTTCTCTCTTTCTGAGACTTGTTTGTAATTAACCTTAAAACTGGGATACTAGAGCTCTTTCTTAATTTTTATCTTTAAAAATTTTTTTCTTGTCTGATTTATTGACAAAGATGCTTAGTGATGGAGTAGGATAGCATGTTGCATTGAAGACTTCTTGGTAGTCAGCTGAGGCCACTCTATTCATGAGGAGCCCTGGTGGCACTGTGGATTAAGTGTGGGGCTGCTAGCTACAAGGTTGGCAGTTCAAACCCACCTACTGCTCCGAGGGAGAGAGATGAGGCTGTGTGCTTCCATGAAGAGTGACAGTCTCGGCGCCAAGAAGGAGGCTTTCTTCCCTGGGTCAGAATCAGCTGCCAGGACTCAGGGTTCGGGTCACTTCATTCTCTTTGTCATTACTGTTCCTGGGAAAGCCTGTGAGAGCCACACTCATACGTAGCTGGCTAACCTGTCATCATGTGGAGGCAGCTCTTACCTCCTCCCCCTGATGATTTGTAGCTATTTCTTCTTAATCTACCCCCCAAGTTATAATCTAGGTACATTATATTGATACTTAGAATTATTGTGTCAGTATTTAACAAAAGAGTCTCTTTTTTTCTTCTTTAATATTCTCTTGTTTTTGCTTTAAAGATGTCTTTGGTTTGTTCTGGAAATACTAATGGCTAAAAACGAAAATAACAGTCATGCGTTTATCCGAAAGATGGTTGAAAATATCAAACAAACAAAAGATGCCCAAGGACCAGATGACACAAAGATGAACGAAGTACGCAGTTCTTTGTGATAATCATGGTTCTGTGTTGGTTTAAAGATTCAGGTTTGGGGTTGGAAGCACCGATATCATTTATAGTAAGACATTTACTTACACTGATAATAGTTCGTTAGTTTTCCAGTTACGTTGGATGCGTGTTCTAGAATTACCCCTAACATACAGAGCCCAAGGCGCCAACTACAGGAAAGCTGTGGGTTAGGCATTGGGCTACTGACTGCAAGGTTAGCAGGTCAGACCCACCAGCCACTCCCTCCGTGGGGGCCAGAGGGTTGCTGTGAGTCAGAATTGACTCCGGTGGGGTGCTTGCTTGGGGGTTTGAGGTGGCACGGTAAGTACCGACGATGTTTCTATTACCGCAGAAGCTGTACACAGTCTGTGACATTGCCATGAACATCATTGTGTCCAAGAGCACCACCTACAGCCTGGAGTCCCCCAAAGATCCCGTTCTGCCCGCACGCTTCTTCACCCAGCCCGACAAGGTAGGGGGACTCGGCCCTGCTTGTGTGTGGGGAGAGGGAGACAAAAGTGTCATAGACCGTGTGACCCCGAATGGGAAGGAGATTGTGGATAGCAGTAGTCTGATGTCACAAGCCCCTGTTTGGGGTTTACAACTGACTCTGAAGAGATAAACTGAGGATAGACCATAAGTACGTCCCCAAACCATTCACAAGAAACTCAAGTGTTGTACGCTGTGTAAACAGACATTTTCCCAGATTCCCTCTTAGAGAGTCGTATCACGCCTAAGCATATTTGGTAACCAAGAGTTCTGGAAAACATCACTACCTTCTTACTTTAAAAAAAAAGTAAAATACCAATTACGGTCTTGCAGGACACTGACTGACCCTCTGAAATAACCAGTGGCAAGAGAGAGCAGCCTTGTGGATCCACCCAGTAGCCAGAAGCGTCAGTCTGTGTTTCAGCTTTCCCCTTGGACTGAGCAAGATGCCAGGGGTCTACCCAGTCTGGTCCATGGAGCTCAGTGTCTGTCAGCAGCGACTTCTGAGCGGCGTGTAGGGTTCCAGCAAGGTCGCACTCCAGTGACTTTTGTTAACCTTGGTCAGCGTGCTCATTACAGCACTTAAACCCAGTGACCAAAATTAATGCTTTAACTGTTGATGAAAGAAAATGAAAACTTGCTCTGTATTCTGTTCCATTTGAATTGCTGTGTTGATAAGAGTTTTCCAGTATTAACTAACTCCTCTCTTTGCCCTTGCTTGTAGAACTTCAGTAACACCAAAAATTACCTGCCTCCAGAAATGAAATCGTTCTTCACACCTGGAAAAGTACGTCTTGAGAAGCCTTAATGTTCCTTTGTGTGGTGGTTTGTCTCAGTCAGTGTCCCCGTGGCATGCTAGGCTCTTTCTTTTTTGAACGTGTATGTATCTCTAGGAAGAAAAAAAAAAAATCAGGATTTACCTGTAAAAAAATTTCTTGGTTTACTGTATGCAAGCTGGGGAGCACAGTGACTTTGCAGGGTAAGCACTGGACTGCAAACCACAAGGTCAGCAGTTTGGGCCCACAGGAGAAAGAGGAGGCTTTCTGCTCCAGCAAAGATGTGCAACCTGGAAGCACTATCCAGGGTGGCTGTTGGAACCGGCTCAACGGCACTGAACAACAACAACATACACAATTGACACACAAACTGATGGGCAAAACTTACACTTCAGCTTTGTCATAAAGCCCAGGAGGTCTCACTTCTTAGACTTCTATATTCAAATATCAACATCAAAATCTACAGATAAAAAGGTACCGCTCATGCTGAACAGCAAGAGTTGACTGTACTTTTCTTTCATTCTCACTTTCTACATAAGCATTTCCTCCAGAGAGCTAAAGTCATGATGGGATTGTTTCGCCGTCAACACTGTTTCCACTTGGCTCAAGTGATGATGCTTGACCTGTAGCCCTCAGTTGTCTGTAAGGATAGCCGCAGTTTGCATGATTGCTCTGGCAGTGCCTTGACAGACGTGTGATGATAGGGTTTTATGTCTGTGTCTTAGTTGGCCTTTCTTGTTTCAGCCCAAAACACCCAACGTTCTTGGAGCTGTGAACAAGCCACTTTCATCAGCAGGCAAGCAGTCTCAGACCAAGTCATCACGGATGGAGACTGTGAGCAATGCCAGCAGCAGCTCCAACCCCAGCTCTCCTGGCCGAGTCAAAGGACGGTGCGTACAGACGCCAGAGCCCCAAAGATTGAAACTATGGGGTCCAAGGCGTTCAGTGTCGGTGAATGGGGCTTAGCCCATGGTTTCCCATTCACACTTGACCTTGACAGCCACTCTCAAGCTCAGACTGTATTACTTGCTCATTAGGTCGGTACCCAGCTTTAGGCACTCACAGTGTAGTTTGTGTGGGTCCTCTGTGGGTGTCCATGGTATTTGGTAACAGCTCGTTTCCAACCAAAGTATCCGGCCCTGGGTGGATTGTTGAACGGTGTGGCATGGCATGCGGTGGGACCAGGTGGTCGTGTAAACGGTGAGGTCTGAGCAGATGCAGGTTTAGGGATCCTCCCCGAGTTTGTAAAGTAGCTTTGTGTTTATGTTTACATGTGGTATCTGTGTAGATTATAGGAAGGTTGTCGTTAATACACGACACCGAAACAGTGAGTGTGCTCATCTGGTGTAAGAGGGGGAGCTCGTTTCATCCTCGGGTGCAGGCTCAGTTTTCTTTCTATGTACATCTTTAGACATGTTTTACTTTTTATAAAAAACTAGTTTTAAAAGCATACTTTGAAATCGAATCACACTTCCCTCCCTTTGGTATAAGTGCTCAGCACACCATTTGTGGGCAGCAGAGCATTTGTACAAACGTCCAGATGGGCTCTCCTGATGAACTTGCCTAAGTCATTCTGGAAGCCCACGCTGCCACTGCCACAGTTCGTGACCAATCAGTGAGGCCGGGAGGGACACGTTCCAAAACTTGTTTTCATAGTCCTTGCGTGAGTGGGTTGTTTCCTAATGCAGAGTACATGGAGACCAAGGTGCATTCGGGTCCACTGTCACTGTGCTCTTTGTAGATCCTCCTGGACTGCTTGCTGCCCTAGGGCTGTCAGCTGTGCTTGCCAACAGGACATTGTCTAGTGGGTGGCCTTCCCATGTGCTTTATTGCCTTTAGTCATGGGGTTTCACCTTGAATTCCCAGTTACAACTAAAGATGATCGAATTCACCCGGTCGACTAGACAAAAACCTCAGGAGTGTCTGGCCTCTTCCCCTTATCTGTGTATGTTCAGTTGCTAAGTTTTGACAAATTGTGTGTTTTTGAAACAATGTTTTGTCCTTCTCTTTCCTACTGTCATTCTTTAGTTTTCTCTCTTTAATTAGTGGTTGGTGGTTATGTGCTGTGGAGATGGTTCCGACTCACAGTGACCCTGTACAGGGTTTCGGAGGCTGTAAGTCTTCATGGGAACAGAAACCTCATCTTTTTTCTGCGGAACCACTGATAGTTTCTAACCGCTGACCCCAAGCCTAGCAGCCTGATTTGTCACCACTACGCTGTTTGTTCATTGCTATTCTTCTGTCCTGGTGTGGCGCTGTGGGTTAATGCGCCAGATTGCAAAGCCGTTTGAACAGCAATGTCGTTGGTTGAAGCTCACCAGCTGCTCCTGGGAAACCCTCTGCAGGGTCATTATGGGTTGGAACCGACTCGATGGCACTTCACAAGAAGAACATCCTTCTTACTGCATGTGTTGTTGCTAGACAGTCATCTCAAACTGCTTCTGCGGCCACTTCGCTATTGCACATGGAACTCTGTTGGCCCCTGTTTAGAGATTGGAGCCTTCACCTCAAAGTCTTTGCCACTGCACTGCTGTGTTTGTCTCCTGTTGTTACCCAGAACCTATGGCTGCCAGTCTCAAGTAATTGTTGTTAAATACTGTCGAGTCAGTTCCAACCCATAGCGGCTTCGTGTAGGGTTTCTAAGAAGCAGTTGGTGAGTTTGAACCGCCAACCTTGCACTTAAAGCTGACTTTGCAGTCCAGTGCATTAACCCTCAGCGCCATACCAGGACTGCAATTTTTAAATTAGTTAGAGATTAAGTTATGTGACAGATTATGTTTGGATGTCATGGGCCAAAGTAAGGAGTTTGGATTTCAATTGAAGAGCAACTAGAAGTTACTGTTGTAAAGTCTGATGGTTTGATTTGTGCTCTGAAGAGATTGGCCTGTGGCAGAGCCAGGGTTGAGGTTGTGAAGCCACTAAGAAGCTTGGAGCTCCTCCAGAGGATGGGATGCTCTCCAAGCAGTCAGGCTCTGTGATCCTGTTGGTGGCGTCTCTGTGATGATCCATTATGGAAGTTGGCCTGAGCCCTGAGAAGACAATGCTGCCATTGGCGTTCCAGAGAGATCCGCCGTGACCTAGCTCGGGGTAGGCGAGCTACTAGGATTCCAGTAACTTGTTGGCTAGGCTCTCCTATATATGAGTCTAGGGTTCACAGTGACTTCAAGGTTAAGGAACAAGACTGAGGTTCAACAGTACGTAAATTAAAAACGAATTTTGTGTGCGGTGTTTTCAGTGAAGATTGGCACATCAGTTTAGACTCCCATTCAACAGCCTCCACACAACGCATTCAGAGACATCGGCTGCGTGCTTCACAAAAACGTGAACATTTTCATGATATCCACTCTGGATCCCTGCTCTGTGCCATCTCATCTGAAAGTCCTTGTTGACAATTTGCCCTCATAGAGGTGACTGTTAAAGGGCCCAGCACTTACAGCTGATGCCCCTTTGTGAGCCACTTGGTCACTTAGCTAGAAGGGGACCTCAGGCTTCTGGTACAGGTCAGCCAGGGAAGTAAGGTAGGGTCGGGGCTCTGGGGAAAAACGAGTGGGATCTCATAAAGGAAACGTTCATATACCAGTCCCACGGCTTTTAAAATATCATAAAGTCTCCTGAACTCACATTTTTGAGAAATTGTGCTAATAAGGATAAAGGAAGACACGGATTTTGGGACTCTTGCCTGCGGGTCCATGGGTCGCTCCTGCAACTGCAGAGTTTAGAGGGCGGGGCCAGGGCCGGCCTGTTTGGAAAGCGGTGTCTCCAGTGAGGGGTTGGGGGCAAGAGGCGACCTAGCTTCCCCCCGCCCCAAGTCTCCCTACTCTGACTTGATATCCCAATAAAAATCGGCCAGGTGCAGCTCACCCACGCACGGAGAGTGTGAGGAAGTCGGTGGCGGCTTTTTGATGTCATCCATCATCCCCCATCTGTCGCTGCATCTAAGCCCCTCCCCCCACTCCTAGCTAGCAGCAGGGATCCTTCAGCAGCTGTGCTGGTGGGACAGGGCACAGAAAAAGTTAACCAAAGCCACTTATCTGCTCCAATGTGGTGATTTCTGTCCATGCAGTTATATTACCTCTGCTTTTAGTCCTCTGGATTACACATCCCTCCTGGAGGTGGGAATTTATCCTCCCTACGTCCCATAAGAAGAAGCAGCAATTGTGGCCATATAGCCAAGCTACAACATAATACTCCACCACTTAAGACAAGACCCAACAACATCTGCTACACATTACAGACGAAAAGGGCAGCCCATCTCCTGATCATATTATTATTAATAATAATAAAACAATAACCATGACCAATAAGAAAGAATCAGCTTTATCGAAGCTTGTCCAAAAACAGAAGAGGGGAGCTGACTGATGCAAATGAACTGGAGACAGACAAAGGCTTTATAGAGGAGGAGGAGCGGGTTTTGGATATGATTGAGAGGCAATTCAGAAGAATGATATGGAAACAAATTCAAATAATCCGAAAAGGGGTCGAGGAAAATAAGGAAGAAGTAAAAAAAAATCTCCAGGAACAATCAAATCGAATCGATACAGCATTGGACACAATTCAAAACCTGCAAAAAAAAATCAGAAATAGACAAGAGCCTGAAAGGGGAAAGGAGTAGAAGGGGACCTCAGGAATTCGTGTGAAGAGTGTATCTCAGGGTAGTTTTCTTAGGGCATGGGTGGGGAGCATCATGTGGTCTGGTCCTGCCACGGCCACCGCAGGTGGGATTTGAAATTCAATCAGTCTAGAAGCTTTCGTAGCAACATTAGTTGATACTCATTGATGGTACTAGTATCCAAATGGCCCTTGGCAGATGAAATTTCCCCACCCCTGACTTTAGGGAGTCCTCCAGTCTGAATCAGTGCAGTAGGTCTGGCTACTGCTGCATTTTTTTAGGTGTTGAAGGCTCTGTTCCACATTTCTCTCCCATTCTATCAAGATCAGTGCTGTGGTTCTGATCAGAATGGTCAAGTATTTGTGCTGCAAACTAGTTTCTTCATATCAAAACCAGATAAGGCTGAGCTCACCCAAGACAGAGGACTGAGCTGTTTACTGAAGGGTGGCTGCTGTGTGCTAGGCATTGACCCAACTGCTAAGACAGAGTGGTGAGTAAAACTGACCGAGGACTCGTGCTTAGATGCCTGTCTGTAGGGGAGGGTGGTCTGTGTGCCGCTGAGCGGTACCGCTACAGAAGAAGCAGCAGTGGACAGGGCACACACGGCCAGAGACCGGGCTGTCCGCCTACTGACAAAACCTTTCCATTTGCTTTGGTATGTTCTCTCCTGCCCCCTAAAGACTTTAAATTTCAAGAACACTTAGGAGAAACTTAAACTTGTGCTTTGTGATTTCCTGGTGTGTTCCAGTACAATAGCCGTGCTGCTGCTGCTTGTTGGCGTCGTCCGAACTACGTTAGAGTACAGCTGGGGGCTCTTGGCCAGGACCAAGGTGTCTCCCTGTAATGTTCTAAAGGTGCTCAGTGGGCAGGAATGGACCCCTGAGGTGATTGGGCTGTAGTAACAATGACAAATGTCTGTGTTAAAAGGCTCGACAGTTCTGAGATGGACCACAGCGAGAACGAGGACTACACCATGTCTTCTCCACTGCCGGGCAAGAAAGGCGACAAGAGAGATGACTCTGAGCTTGGAAGGGTGAGCTGTTTGCTTTGTACACTGCTGGCCTTGCTGCTGACGACACATCGTGACTGTGTGGAGAACAGTCCCCTTCACATTACACTCAGATCTGACTTCTGATTGTTCTATGTTTTTACGTGATTTCACCATTATTCCCTACTGTGAACATTGATTGAATCGCTATATTCTTGTCATTCTGACTAGCAATCCTTCAGTTGTAGGTCTGCTTGGAAATCTCTGGTGTTCACTGGTCTGTTTGTGTGAGCACAGTCAGTTTGGATTTCGCCTTAGAAGGGACTAGAAGGCAGGCAGGCCCTTGAAGGTGTCTCCACTTAGCTGCTTCCTGGAACCTCTCCTTACTTGAGTGAGCCTCTGGGTCCAGTAGGAGATGTCTCCTTGTTCAGATTGCAGGCCTTAATAACCATGAGAACTAGTTTGATAGTTCTATTGGTCATTTGAAGGCAAAGTCGGTCAGATTTTAGTACAGACGGAGAACACAGTTCTGTCTGCATTCCAATACAACCAAGAAGCCTGAATAACGGCTCCTTTGAATGTTTTAGTTAAGGTCTAATCAATCCTTAAATAACCCAAGAGAATTTCTCTGTGAAATGTGGATGTTTAACTGGTAAGTTTTCTCAGAATAAGACCAAATGGAATCAGTTTTGCTGCTATCTTATCACTGTTACAATGAATAATGTTGGTCCTCAGTGGTTACCAAACAAGCAAGAGACAATGTGTCTATTGAGAGGGGTGGAGGATTACTGATCAAATGCTGGCTTCCACTGGGCTGGCATCAGCCCTGCCAGGAGCTTCACTGGTTTTCCAGTCTGGCCAGTGGTCCGCCTTACTCTAAACCCCTACAACCCACCCTGCTGATTCTGATTGTTATGCACAGTGTCACCCAGGCAGAGCCCAGACATAATAGCTTGGCCAGAAAGGAAGCCTGTTATCAGAGGTTCCCGGTGACTACCTCATGGTTCCTCTCCCATACCCAGCCCCACGGACGCCCTCCAAAGTAGGGAGGTGTGATTTGTGTGGATTCTTTTTCTGGGTTTATAGCCTGTGAATCCTGGATTGCGCTCCCCCTTTTGGAGCGGTGCACAGCAAGTCTGTGTACAGGCAGCCTCCCGGCTCCGGCGGAGTTGTCTGCAGAATTTGCAGTGCAGGCTTTTCACAGTTGGCTGCAGCACATAGACTGCAGAGCTGGGTCCTAACTACTAGAAGTGCCTTTGGCTCTCAGATCGTTTCCTTGGAACCCCCCTTGTGGGGGTTAGTGGGGGTTACCGCAGATTAGAGGAGAGTGTCTGAAATGTCACCGCATGGGAGTTAGTGTGCACATACGGCTGTGTCCCGTTCCTTAGATTTCCAGCTGCGAGGGGCTGCAGAAGGCAGGTCTTCCCTGCCTACTGGCCCACTCTCAGTGCTGTGGTTGGCCCCTTATTCTAGCAGTGCTCCGCAGACTGAAACAGCGATTAGAGTGTGGTGAGTGCTTTAGGAAACGAATGTGCTCACGACATCTGTCTCCAGAAAGCTGCCTTTCCCAGCAGCACACAAGAATCCAGCCCCTTCTCCACACTTTGTACATCACAAAGAACTGGAGGGTTTTAACATTAGAAGTGATGGTTTCAATTTAATTTTTCTTCTTCTCTCCCTGTCTCTGAGTAGCAGTAATTGATACTCAATTTATATGCAAGTACTCCAAATAAATGCTAGCAAATTAAAGCCGATGATTTATAGCTCCTTTTTTATCTCTCCTGGTATGTGTGGATTGTTTAATGCCAAGACATTTATTAAGTAAAGCCAATTAATATGCTAAAATCAGAGAATGATCTCAGATCATGCCAAGGAGATATAACTAAAATAAAAAATTCTGTTCCTGACAGATGTTCGTAAACTAAGACCAGAAAGATCATTCTATAACATGCCACATGCTTTCTCTATTTTATACCAATAATCATTGTCATTTTATCCTAAAGACAGATGCTTATAGCGTCTTAGTAAGAATCCAGGTACAAAGTAAGCTTATCTGCCATCACTGGTGTTTAAAATGGTTCTAGGATGTTTGACTAATTCAGAAAGACATGAGTTACAAGTGAGAGATACGTAACAAGGAAAAAAGAAAAGACAAATTATTCTAATGTTCTGAGAGCAAAACAAGAGACGCTATTGGGAAAAGTTAAGAATTCAGCTTGGTAGCCTAAAATTATAAGGAGGTGGAGAGGTAGTTGCACACACATACATAAATCTAAGTTTGCTGTAGTGATTGTTTGCTTTGTATCAGCTATATGCTTGGGGCAAATGGGATTTTCTTACATGGAGCAACCATTACAGCAACAGAATGAATGATACAGTTATGTGTGCTTTGTTGACACTTTGTCATGTGCTGCACTGTGCCGTAAACCTGTTGTTGGTAAGTGCCGTGGAGTCGGTTCCTACCCATAGTGACCCTGTATAAGGTTTCCAAGGAGCAGCTGGTGAGCTTGAACCGCCGTCCAGCGCAT